GTGGCGATCGAATAATGTTCTCAATTCGAGCAATTTTGTAATAAAAATGGCGAAATGTCTTAATTTATTCAGTCTTGTCATTCTTATAAAACGGCACGGTCGCTTTTATAGCTCGGTAAGTTTAGCGTTTTGCAGATCTATTAAAGATAAATTCTCGCGCTAATATGTTCGGTTGGAGAATCTTTAGAAGTTAAAAATATTATAAGGTAAATATAAATATCATAGATTTTAGATTTTCAATTTTGATTTCATTAACATTGGAACTAATCGAACTAGTTAAAATTTCTGATTTTTCTTTTACAGTTTTCCCGACATTACGGTAATCTTGCTGCGAGAAATTCTTCAACGAACTTACTTATCGAAGTATAACATTATAATAGTAATCGTTACAATGGAAATACAATATAATATAATAGAAAATAAATCATAGTAAAAATGAATTACAATAGAAATATATTATAAAACAGAAATATATAATATAAACAATAAATATAAAACTAAACTAATATAATAAAAAATAATATAATATAAATAATAAATATAAAACTAAAATAACATAATAAAAAATAATATAACATAAATAATAAATATAAAACAATTATGCATTGATCGTGTTCAGTTAACTCGACACAGTTCTCGAGTTAAAAACGAGCTTCTTCGATTTTTCTGGAATTTTTGGGGTTATGTGCTGGCGATCGGCGAAGCGTCGATCGAAACTAATAATATTCTTATCTCGACCGCGAGGCATCTGTTAGTGTAATAGCATCGATTTTCATAAAATTAGAATTTATAATTCGTAGTTTATCATCGTGACTCTCGATAGCTTTTTTGTTGGATCCGCTGTAGTAAATCGTTCTATACATAATCACGCGGAGACAGAAATAACCGGTGCGTTTTATTTAAAATACCGTAGGCGAGCTGACGTCATACTAGAAAGAGAGAGATATCGATTTAAAATGATCACAAAAGGGATTCATTTATCTCTCTGCTTTCCTGTTTCGCTACGCTGCCCACGTGTCCGGCACTCGAACGTCACGATCTTGCGAGCAGAATAATGTAAATTCTCCCTAATCGACGCTCAGCTTGTACAAGAAAAATGGAAAATTTCGGAAGCTGAGACATGATTATTATTTATAGTTACCGATTGTCAATAATTATTTAAAACGAGCTGCAAGGCTCGAATAATCGTATCTCCTTCTCCTCCCAAATTCTCCATTTTTTCCAAAATGGGCGTCAATTAGAGAGAATTTACTGTATTTGGTATATTGAAAAATGACCGAAAAACTAAAGTTCGATGGTGTCAAAAGAGACAACGTAACAAAACTATTTTCCCATGAAACAAATATTTGTCGAATCGTGCGATAGTAATTGCGAATAATTGCAATAGTAGCAATCGTGCAAGTAATTTACCTTTCAACAGAAAGATAGTAAACGGGCCAGTAAACTTTTTCCTATATAATATATTATATATATATATATATAATATATATAATATATAAATAATATATATATATAATATATATAATATATAAATAATATATATATATAATATATATAATATATAAATAATATATATATATAATATATATAATATATAAATAATATATATATATAATATATAATATAATATATATATTTTTTCCTATAAAAATAGCACCTGACCAAGGTACAATAAATTCTGCTTAATTGACGCTCAGCTTGTACAAAAAATATGTAAAATTTGAGAGGAGGAGGGGGTGCTATAAAAACTATAAAAACGAGCTGCAAAGCTCGAATAATCGTATCTCCTTCTCCTCCCAAATTCTCCATTTTTTTCCCAAACGAAGCGTCAATTAGGGAGAAATTACTGTAAATGGAACGACGAAAAATTCTGAGAAGCGCGCCAAAAGACTTATTTTCAGCAAGGCGAGTTGAAAATAAAATTTCTGTGACATACCGTTAGAGCAAGTTCGTCCAACCATGTCTGCGACGTTTCACTGCGACTTTATTCCGTATCTTCGCGCAATCGACGCGACATACACGCGTGCGGCACGCTCGGAACAACAATATGGCGGCGGAGCGAGCGAGTGGACCAACCGAGCGAATGGTAAACATCGGCCGGTTTCGTTCGGGCACGAAAAAAAATGGTCGCGCCTGCGATAAAGAGATGGACAAGAAATAGAGGCGTGCTCGGAGCCAAATAGGACGTACAGGTCGAAAATAAAACGAGAATAACCGGCGCATCTTCGCCGAGTATACCTTTGCGGAAACGTCTTTAGAACGGCGCTCGCCAATGCTTGTCTGGTGTTCGAAGAATTCGCCTTGTCAGAATTTATTGGCTACCGATAGATTCAATTGTCGGACGAGACTGAAACGTTCGGGGTGCAGTAAATTCTCTCCCGATTCTCCTTCAGCCTCTAAACAAAACTGGACAATTTGGAAAGAGGAGATACGATTATTCGAGCCTCGTTTTTATAATTGTCGATCGAGAGAAGATTTACTATAATCAGTACAGACTGAGAAATCGTTTACTTTAATTTATCGATATCTCAATCGATTATGGTGCTCCTTAACGCTTCGACTGGTACGGGGTGTCCCAAAATTATTGTACAAGCGGGAAATGATGGGTTCCTGAGGTCATTTGAAGTAACTTTTTCCTTAGCGAAAATGCAATCCGCGGCTTCGTTTACGAGTTATTAACGAAAAACAGTGGCCAATGAGAGGCGAGATCAGCTGGCGCGAGGCGACGCAAGGCGACCGAGCCAATCAGCGGAAGTGAGCTTCGCGCGCTCGTTGAGTGGGCCGCCTCGCGCCAGCCGAGCTCGCCTCTTATTAGCCAGTGTTTTTCGTTAATAACTCGCAAACGAAGCCGCGGATTGTATTCTCGCTAAGGAAAAAGTTACTTCAAATTACCTCAGGAATCCCCCATTTCCAGATTGAGAGATATTTTTGGGGCACCCTGTATAACGAACGACATGGTCTAATCGTTGCCACTTAGCAGATGATTATCGATGATTATCCTTAACGCGTAGCACACTTTTCATTCCTCGCCGTTCGTTTTACGGAAAATATGGTAAATTCTCCCCAATTATTCTTCCGCTTCTAAACAAAAATGGACAATTCCGGAAGAGCAGACACGATTATTCGAGCCTCGTTTTTATAATTGTCGATCGAGGGAGAATTTACCGTAATCGGCTCAGACTGGGAAATCGTCTACTTTAATTTATCGATATCTCAATCGATTATGGTGCTCCTTAAGGCTGCGACTGGCACACGAACGATCTCGAAGCTTTCTTAAAATTGAGGCGCTTTGTTCGAACAAATTGAAATTAGAAAGTTTAATTTTAATGGTATCAATTACCTTTTTGATGTTTTCACGTTTCACGAATCCTGATAAAATTTGTAAACTACGACAGATCAGCGTATAAATTAATTTTCAAATCTGGACGAATCGTTCGGTCGCCTGCGTATGGACGACGCGGCAACCAAAGTGCCAGGTGTTCTAAATAAATGAAAAGATCGAAATATAAACAATTGGTGCAAGCTCTAGTATACGAAATCCGAAGCATTTCGAACTGTAAGTATAAGAATACTTTGTTTCAGCTTCTTTTTCGAGTCGCACGGTGTTTTTCTCCGTCGTTCGCCACGCGACCGTAACATTTTACGATAAATTAGCTCGAGGAAACATTTCCAAGCAATCCGATCGTTGACCAATCGGCAACTATAAAAACGAGCCGCGAGGCTCGGATAATCGTATCTCCGCTTCCCGAATTGTCCATTTTTGCGTACAATCCGAAGGAAAATTAGGGAGAATTAATTAACAACCGAAGAATAAAACCCGGCAAATAAGGAGAAACGTAACTAAATAATAATTCACGTTCGTCCGCGTAGCGAACGTCTGTTTTTCTCCTCTCTCATTTCTGTGCCAGAAATCTCCGTGCCGACGAAACGTAACGACGC